AAAGGAGTACCTGAAAATATGTCTGTGTTATTATTTTTTTTTTTTTTACAATTTATTACAATTTTGTAGGTGCAATATTTTTCACAAAACCTTATTACAAGGATTTATACAGACATTTGTTTACTTCTTTATATTATACTCACTTACAAGAAATGTTTTACTTTATGTTACACTCCGCCTATGGCAGAGGCTGACTTCTAAAGTGTCCCTCTTCCATTTATAGATCACAATTCAACACATGTTCATGTCAGTTTTACCCGACTACTTTAGAAAGGGCACCAGCCGAAGACTGACAGCTTCAGTTCAGATCATCTGACCTTCCGGATTATTTCATGTAAATTTTAATGTAAAGAATTTTTTTCTCAAATAAAGCATTTTTGGGACAATTCAATGCATATTCGGATGCATTCAAAGTTACAATTGACTAACTGCATTATTATATACGCTTTTGGGAATATCTTAATATTATTCAGATCTATTAAAATGACATCAATGAAATGTGGTTTTACAAGGTAAATCGTGTGCAAAGTTCATTTTATATATGTATGTGTGTGTATATATGTAATGCAACCTCACAGAAATGAGAAGAAAGATTAAGAACTACAGAACTTTGTAAAAATTACAGACAGATGTAGAAAAATTAAGATTTCAAAAATTTATTTGCATTGTGTTCTTAGAAAAAAATCCATTTAGATCTTAGAGAAATCTAAATCAAATCAATAATTGGTATAAACTAGGGGTGTAACGGTTCACGGTATGTATTGAACCGTTTCGGTATGGCCTGTTCGGTTCGGGACACTTGCGTACCGTTTCGGTATTTTTATTAAATGATATAAATGTATTATCAGCGCGATATTAAGCGCAGCGCAACAATGTTCCTAGGCGAGTTTCCGCACGGACGCTATTGACTGACGAGCACGAGTGCGAGAATCATATCAAAAGCGAAGGAGAAGCCAGAGCTTGAAGACCCTCTCACCTCACTACGGTCTCGTGTTTGAGAACACTTTGGCTTCTCTGTTAAAATACATAACGGGGATAGACGAGTGGATAAATTTAAAGTTGTATGCCGACATTGTTCCACGGAGATCGGGCAGGCAACACATCTAACATTTTCTACTGCTGGAGATATTATAACCAGATCTATGCTCTCTTCAGAAAATGTGGATAGGTAATCTATCCTAACTAGTTGCAGTATTTCATTTTTTATTTAAAAAAATGTGTTTTTCTTTATAAAGAGTGCAATTTATTTAAAATATCACCCAAATGTGTCACTTTTATTTATTTTATGCAAGAATTCTACTGTGTATTGGCAGCTTTTCAAAATAAAGATTATGTAAGTTCTTATTGTTTTGTACCGAACCGAATGAACCGAACCGAACTCTCCAAGACACTGTACCGAACCGAATACGATTTTAGCGTACCGTTACACCCCTAGTATAAACCCTTAAAACTGCAGCAGTTTATGATGGAACTTTGCTGGTAGTTTGTTTGAAATGGGCTAAATATATCTTTTGTAAGTCGAGTAAGCTAGGATTATTATTACATTTCATATTATTTTTGCATTGTATTAAAAGTTAGGCTTTCCCCCCTATTTTATTATATACAGTTTTATTGTTAGCTTCTATCATGCCGTTAAGTTCAGTGTGGAACTTTATATTGAACGAGGAGAGCGCATTTCAGCGTTGCACACTTGCCTCATGTTGTCCATAGGTGCCTCCATCTTAGCTTAGTTCAGCACTGGGAGGCGAAGTGGCTGGACACTTTCACCCTCGTTGTGTTGAAAGCTGCTACACAAACATCTTGAAGAACTAACTTCAGACCTTCACATCATCCCAGACACACTCAATGATGTTACGATCTGTGGGCTCCATGTCAACACTTTCACTACGCTTTGTTCTACGACTTTGGCTTTATGTTTGGGCTTGTTGTTCTGCTGCAGAATAAATTTGATGCCTGCCTGGCACCTCCCTCATGGTATTGCACAAAGGACAAGTATCTGCTTGTGTTTCTCAACATTAATCTTGACCAAATTTCCAGAAGTGCAGCCCCAAACGGTCAAGAACCCACCACCATGATTCACGGTCAGTATTGTACCACTCTCTGCCTTCTGTTACAGCCAAATATTTCAGATTTTCAGCTAATCAGTCCTGAGCACCTGCAGACATTTCCATCACAATATTTTTGTGCTTGCTGGAGTCACTGGGCTTTGTTCCTACCTCAGACATGTGGCTTTTTGGCTTCACCCCTTCTTTGCAGACCACTTCTGCTGAGATTTTGCATTATAATAGATTGGTGTACCTGGGTCCTACTGGTTTCTGTCAGTTAGGGCTGATGGCACTGCTTTGGTTGATTAAACACCCGACTACAATTGTTATTTTTATTAGATTTATACATTTTTGGGCTCATTCTGTATTTTCTAAATTTACAAAAATAAACATCATCCTCAAATTTTTAATTTCTCTGGTACAAATGCAACATTATCTTACATTTCAAGAAAAAGTTTGTGCAGTACCTCTTGCAGGCAGCAGGGGCACCAGCAGGAGGCACAGCGGTAGGGTCTGATCAGCCTGATGACCTCACGGTCGGCGTTGTCCTTGATCTTCATGTCGAAGCTACGCAGGGCACCACAACAGTTGCGTGTGCAGCAGTCGTTTTTCTCTTTGGCAGTGAAGATCTTCTGACCGAGGCTGTTCTTGATTTCATACTGGTTGTTTGTCTCAAAGCCAAGGAAAGCTGTAGAGGGAAGGAAGTTAAACGGGAAATTAGTGCAGTTCAACTACAACTACGCAAGAATCCTGTGTGACGGGGATTAGGGTGTACAGTCTTATGTTTTCCAAGTGACAAACAGAAAGATTTTTTTTAAATGTAATCGTTTAATCAGGACGTTTGTAGTGTTTCTAATACAAATAAATGAATATCATAAAAGTAGAGGTCAAAATTATTGATGGTCAGTTTTGTTCGAAAATAGTCTTTAGTCATTTGCTGTGGTGTCTCACATCACACATTCTTCCTGTGCAGATCTCTCAAGCTTCTCCAGAAATGTTGGTCTTCTAGCAGAGACTCTTTAGTGTGCACCACAGACTTTCTATAGGCAAAAAAACCACCTGGGCTTTGCTGGGCACATTTAACAGGATTTCTTCAGTCAAAGTGAGGTTTGCCTTGACAAAATGTCAAAGCAAACCAAGTTATCTTGCAGACTGTCTGAGGTCTTTTTCAGCTTCTCATCGTCTTCCTTTTTGTGATTCCTTCAGCCCTGATGAAATTCAGGATACCATTTCAGTGAAACATCTCCACAGCACTTTACTCCCACCACCATGCTTAACACTGGAAACTCTTTTCTTTAGGGTTGAATTTGTCTAAACATCTCAACATCACCTTTCCTCATGTTGTCCTTTATTCTGTCTTGTCTTGGAGGTGGCTTTTCTTCGGAAATGGTCGACAATCTCAAGGCTGGAATTGATGTCTCAAACCACATTCTTTACCAGTATCCTGGCAAGTCTCACTAGTTCTTGTTCTAGGTTTTGAAATCTTTCAGCTTTGTTCTCAACATTGTTGGTCTCTTTAAACTTGATGAAGCACATGATGAACAATAAAAAGGCAAAATGCTCAGCAGAACCAATTTTCCCAAATTAAGGTCACACGACTGCCCAGTACAACAACAACAAAGGGGGGGGGGGGGCTCAGACTCCAGACTAGTTAAATCTAATTGTTGGAATTCCTAGAGGATCTATTCACCCATCCATTGTATTTTATTCACTATTTAGTGTCACAGTTTCTGCTTTTGCTCATCTCCCATCCATCCATCCCTCCACATTTAAATTCTTGTCTATTACAGCTTATACAAGTTTTTTTTTAAACTTTACTTTTCTAGAACATTTTTTTCTATCGCATTTTTCTATATTTTATAATGTTTTCATAGTTGTTTCTTTTTAGCGTTTAGCGAATAGAAGAATGTTGTCTTTTACTTTGGACAAAAAAAAATTTACTTAGCCAAGAAATCCAAATCGATCTGACTTGGGTTGCTATATCTTTTCAGACTGGTACCACTAAAGGAATTCTGGGACTTCTCAGAGAATGCTTGGAAATTGACTTTACATTGGATCAAACTGTAACTCAAACTGAGAACATAATCACTGTGCAAAAGTATTTGAACGGCTCTAGAAGGGACAAAAGATTTACCATTGACTCATAATGACCATTGAAAATACGGTAAATGGGAAACGGCAACAAAAATAACTTCAAGATGAAGCAGAGAAACAGACTTTTGTTTGTGTTAATCATTTCAACCTACAATATTTTATCACTAACAACTTCCTAGCAAGCAAATGGTTTATCCTAGCAACCTAATTTTCTGAAAGGTACCTTAGGTTTTGAAAATGACCATTTACAATAGAAACCAGTTCTGCATATACATATCCCACCTTATGAAAATCATAGAGAAATCTTGGTTGGTGTTAAGTGAACATTTTTCAAGGTAATTTCAAAGTTTGTGTACATTAGCCATCTAGATATTTTTATAATTATTATATAGTCATCATGAACTCTCAGCTTTTATCTCTTTTTATGACTTGTGGTATGGTGACATTCAATGGAAATATAACTGTAGATGAATGTGGAACAAGATGAATAAATGAATGAATTAAAGGATGTATGACGTGAATAACATGATCAGAAATGGCTAACCACAACTGTAAACAAAGCCTTGAAAGTAGGTGTGAATGAAACATCACAAGGTTCAGTTTCACAGAAGTAAAAAAGCCTCACAGAAGCTCTAACGGAACAAAACAAAACACAAAGTAAATTTGCTGTGGTGCAATTCTTACTTTTGGTTTGTTTAATTAACTGAGGCTGCCTTGTTAGCGCTTGTTAGCACGAAATAACGATGTTCAAGGCTCCAACACACACGTTTTACTGAAGACAAACCTTACATTTACATTTATGCATTTGGCAGACACTTTTAGCCAAAGTGGCTTACATTTAGGAAAGAATGAACACATTTTTTCTATTCCTGGTATTTGAACCCATGACCTTTGAGTTATTAGCGCAACGCCTTACCAACAGAGTCACAAGAAAAAACAGGCAAAAAAAACAAAAAAGAACTCACCTTCTAACAACTCCACTTTTTGGTGAATAAGGATCTGGTCAATCTGCAATGCAAAGCACAAGCTGTAACAATACTTTCTGCTTAAAGGGCCACGACACACAGCATGCAAACAATATGATATTTTCAATCATTTACATGTGTTGAACATTATTTAAAACAAAGTTATTATCCCGTTGCATTCAAATCTTTTGTTCACAATTTCTGACTTCTTGTTTGAAAAGAAATTTTGCAGGAAGTGATTCATCTTTGTTCCATTGGATCATTATTATTCGTGAGTCTGACTTCTATTATCCTGTAAGAAGACGTGGTGTATTATTTATCAACGAACTGTTCACATAACGTTTTATTTTCGATTTCAGAATGGGTCGCAAATGTTTGTTTCCATGGTGCAAAGGTGCTACATGTCTTTCCTTGTGATGAAGTCAGAGCAAAACTCTGGCTTCAATCAGCTGGTTGGCCACCAACCATGACAAGTCAAAACTATGGATTAGAAGCAAGCATTTTCCTTGAGAAAGTTATGAAAATGATGGACCTAGACATTACAAATCAATGCAGTTACAATCCCACCTCAGTGCGGATATGTGTGCGTTTTATCGGCTCTTATGAAGCACTTATCTTTCTATATTTGGTATCGAAACTCAAAAGCCGATCCAAGCCATGCCCACATCCCAAACCACTTTGCAAATCTGTACACGCCCATTGTTTTAAAACGATCTTGAGCAGATGATACCTGAAACAGGCGGCGCTCATGGCCCTTTAATTGACTGCAAATCATACTGGTCATGGGGAGTTGTCCACATGTTTCTGATTATAAATATTTTGTATTTTGTACAACAGCTTTTCTTTAATAAATGAACGTAATTTAACCTGAGAAAATGCACATTTTTTTGAAAAAGCTTGGAAAATTATGGCTGGGGCCAATCAGAAGTAAGAGGCGTGTTTATTCATGACACAGAGCAGGAGAGCTCAGACTGGGATGACGCCATGAGTTGTGATTACCACCAATTAGCGAGAGAAATAAAGACGCGATAACAGCTAACATCGAACGTTGAGGTTGCAAACGTGGTGAGCCACATATTTTGATTCCCAGCAAATCATCCATACTGGTTTATGATAGTTTAATGTGTGAGGCAGGGATATCAAAATCATGATGAGGTGCCATTGGTCGGGGGCATGTTTGTTTTCCTGTTTTCAAACATCAACATCAACTCCCAAAGATTGCGCACCTCACCGTTAAATATCTTATTCAGATATCTAGAGACTGTAGTAATACATTACTCACAAAATTGTAACCTAAAAACTTACAATGCAATAGCTTAACAGGAACAGAGATCTAGAGGATGTTTTAACAACCCACGAGGGGAGGATTAAGAACTAGATCAACATTTGATGGCCAACACTGCTATGAATCACAAAGTTACAGAAAGTTAACCAGTGGCCATGACTCCTCAGTACTTATACTGTTGGTGCAAGTTCAAATCTCAAGAGGTTACGGAGATTCCATGACCGACATAGCAAAGTAAACGTAACAGACAATAAAATTGCACATGCAAATCCCAGAAATTCAGTCAGGGTATCGTGGCCCATTTTTTTGTTTCTAGGGCTTGAGCAGCAAAGTGACCATAGAACCCTAATGTAATTATTGGGGGTAATTTTGCTTTGGGGCTTTTTGCACCTTTAAGAGGGTCTAAATGTTCTTGAAAAGTCACAGAATTGCAGACATATCAGAACTGATGGCATTTTTCATTTGATTGGGGTTTGAAAAGTGGCAAAAAGGCTCTATAGCACCACTTAATGCATTTCAGCATATGGTGCGATAACAGTTTGTGAATTAAATCTGTAGGGCACCAAGACTTAAATATGGATTGCATTTCAAATATTTACAGGAATTTGCAACTTGTTATAGAGCCACCTAGTGGAAACACATAACACCCCATTTTCTGTGGTTTTATACTGCTATTTCAGACTGTTTGAAGTGTTGGACAAACACTTACAAAACCTCTGTAAGTCAGTTATTGTGAATAGTTTTGTTACAATTTCACGCCTGAAACAAACTCCTCCAAGAGATTTCATGTGATTGCCATAAACCTGTGGTAGTCTCATCTAGCGGCCTCTAAAATGTTTATTACGTTTTTTTTTTGTTTTTTTTTAAAGTTTGTGCTTGGCGGTTTGCTGAATTTTGATGTTTTGCCATGAAACAGGAAGTTGTTAATAACTCAACTAAATACTGTCAGATCGGGAAGAAAATTGCCACATTTGCCCGAAATTTAAGAAAAATCTGCAAAGTTGGCGCAAACCCAAAGGGTGTAACATTGCCTTATCAAGCATTTTTAGCCCCGTGTAAAACCTTTTAATGAGGGTTTGAACGCTCACATGGAGATATTAAATATTGCTAACCTGGGTGAGGTATTCCAGACCAGGAGGCACTCCAGTGGGCATAGGTACTGGCACAGGAGCTAGAAAGAGTTGTGAGGAAGATGAAGATACACCATAAGCGATCTTACATTAAGACTAATAATGAATGTTATAAAAATTCACATGAAGCTCTAGGACCCTTTGTATCCTTAACATAAGCAAAAATTTGATAATTCAACCAGAAACTTGACAAAAAAAAGTTCTGGATGTGCCAAGTTTAACTTGTTTTTGATTCCTTAAACAAAATGTTTTTCACCCTCCACCAACAAAATTAAAGCTTTAAAGCCTGAAAGCTCTGAAACTTTCACAGGAATCATGTTCAAAAACATAATTGAGACCATGGCATTGTGCAAAGTGATGAAAAAAATTCCCAAACTAGGACATTTTCTCTCCCTTTGTCAGCTGGAACAGCACCTCCTCAAGGACAAATTAAGCTCTGCCTGTTACCTAGGTTTGATTCTGAGGCCATTTACTTAACCTTCAAATGCACACACTCTCCGGTTCCCACAGACATGTTAAGACTAAAAATAAATGCGATTACAATCCATGTTCAAACATTTTAACCAACTAATGACAAGAAGCGGTGAATTTGCATAAATTTCAGCTGATCTTGTTGAACAACTCACCCCTTGTTTTAACAACCACCAACACTTTAAGTCAAATCAAACCAATCAAGCAGGCTTACATCCATATGGTGGGCCAGGGTGAGGGGCTGGACCGCCTGGTCCAGGCTGATACATTATTGGCTGATCTGGAACTGGCTGGTACCCTCCTTGAAACCCTGGTGGTGGAGCATTGGATCCAGGATCTCCATACCCTCCACTTCCAACCGGATAGGGGGGCAAGGCAATCCCACCTTGCTGGGAATTGGGATATGGAGGTTGCTGTGGTGAGGGGTAGCCTGGTATAAACATCACAGACAGAAATGAAACAATTGTTAATTTTAATACATATAAAGTGCATCCGGAAAGTATTCATAGTGCTTTGACATTTTTTTATGTTACAACCTTATTCCAAAATGGATTAAATTATTTTTTTTCCTCTACACAATACCCCATAATGACGATGTGAAAAAAGATTTTTTGAAATTGTTGCAAATTTATTAAATATACAAAACCTGAAGTATTCACAGCCGTTGCTTAATACTTTGTTGATGCACCTTTGGCAGAAATTATAACCTCAAGTCTTTTTGAATATGATGCCACAAGCTTGGCACACCTGTCTTTGGGAATTTTTGCCCATTCCTCTTTGCAGTACCTCTCAAGCTCGATCAGGTTGCATGGGAAGCGACGGTGTACGGCCATTTTCAGATTTCTCCAGAGTTGTTCAATAGGATTTAGGTCTGGGCTCTGGCTGGGCCACTCAAGGACATTCACAGAGCTGTTGTGAAACCACTCCATTGATATTTTGGTGGTGTGCTTTGGGTCATTGTCCTGCTGGAAGATGAACCTTCGAACCAGTCTGAGGTCAAGAGCACTCTGAAGCAGGTTTTCATTCAGGATGTCTCTGTACATTGCTGCATTCATCTTTCCCTCTATCCTGACTAATCTTCCAGTTCCTGGATGAAATCCCCACAGCATAATGCTGCCACCACCATGCTTCACTGTAGGGATGGTATTAGCCTGGTGATGAGCGGTGCCTGGTTGTTTCCAAATGTAACGCATGGCATTCACTCTAAAGAGTTCAATTTAGTTTTAAATGTCTCATAAGACGAGAGAATTTTGTTTCTTGTGGTCTGAGAGTCCTTCAGATGCCTTTTGGCAAATTCCAGGTGTGCTGCTATGTGCCTTTTACTAAGGAGTGGCTTCTGTTTGGCCACTCTACCATACAGGCCTGATTGGTGGATTGCTGCACAGATGGTTGTCCTTCTGTAAGGTTCTCCTCTGCCCACAGAAGAACGCTGGAGCTCAGACAGAGTGACCCTCGGGTTATTGATCACCTCCCTGACTAAGGCCCTTCTCCCAAGGTTACTCAGCTTAGATGGCCGGCCAGCTCTAGGAAGAGTCCTGGTGGTTCCAAACATCTTCCACTTACAGATGATGGAGGCCACTGTGCTCAATGGAACTTTCAGAGCAGCAGAAATTTTTCTGTAACCTTCCCTAGCCTTGTGCCTCGAGACAATCCTGTCTCTGAGGTCTACAGACCATTCCTCTGTCTTCATGCTTGGTTTGTGCTTTGACTGTCAAACCTGCGACCTTATATAGACAGGTGTATGCCTTTTTAAATCATGTCCAATCAACTTCATTTACCACAGGTGACTCCAGTTAAGCTGCTGAAACATCTCAAGAATGACCAAAGGAAACAGAATGTACCTGAACTCAAATTAGAGCTTCACCCCAAAGTCTGTGAATACTTATGTACATGTGATTTTTCCAGTTTTGTATTTTTAATATATTTGCAACAATTTCAAAAAATCTTTTTTCACATTGTCCTAATGGGGTATTGGGTGTTGAATTTTGAAGAAATACATGAATTTAATCCATTTTGAATTAAAGGTTGTAACATAAAAAATGTGGAAAAAGTGAGGCGCTAAGAAGACTTTCCAGATGCACTG